GGGTGATCTCTTGGACAAATCACCCCTTAGGTCGCCACGATAGGGTCAGCACGCAAAGGGAGGGGCAAGGGGAAACTAGAGGTTCTCCCCGTGGACCGACCCGTGACGAGATCCTACGCCCGGGCCCATAACAAATCTGGACATTTTGATATTCTGTATCCTGGCTATTTTTTCTGTTTATAGGAAGGCCGTGTCTCTGGTCCGTTGTGTGTCTTTGTCAAGGGAGAACCCCTTGTAGAGTAGGATGCATATATTTAGGATGTAGAAGGAAATGGATTATTAGTAGCTATTTAATGCATAGCGTATTGCATATGATAAGAAGGAAAAGGAACTATTCTTTGAGGTCAAGGGATCCATTTAGGGAAAAGGAACTATTCTGAAGTTTGAATTCTGAGTTTCTGACCAAATAGAAAGGAGAGGAATTATTGGTAGGGGGAGGGGGTTCAGAGTGTGTAGATTAGAGAATCTCCAAGGTTTCTGTTATGGACCTCAAATGAAATGCCTCTAAAAATTTTACAAGCACCCTTGAGTTAACCATTGAAAACATCCTCCCCCAAATCTCTTCTATTCTTTCTCTCAAAGAGATGGTCGCTTTCTCAGTTTCTCCTTTTTTACTTCTCCTACAAAGTCATCAATGGTTATTGGACTATAATTCTTTTTTTATTTGATATAAATATGGACTATTATTTTATTTAACCAAACTGATCGGTGATGATGAATTGATGACTGCTCAATATGTTTTATCAGATAAAACTTTAGCATTCTAAATCATTCCTAGAGAACAGATCCTAGAAGGAAGAATAACCAACACTTCCTGTTGTATTTGTGTTCCTGTTAATATATTGCTTTGAAAATGTTTATAAGGCTGCAGCCTTGCTGTCAGAACCCTTCAAGATTAATGTAAATTTCAGCTGCAAACCACAACCGAACTTAACCATCAATTTGAGCTGATTTTACCCAATATCCATCATTTCTTTTCCCAAGCAGAAGAAAACCGTGCAATTGCAAACTGCATCCGAACTTAACCTTAAAATAGAAGGCATGCTAAACCGGGTCATTTCCTTTTCAACGCTTAGTTTTCTCAGTAGAGCTCGATTATTACTGCCACCAGGAGCAGAGCACAAACAACAAAACAATAGTTTTTTTCCTAAAAGCAATACGTATATACTTCGTTTAAGCCCTAGTCTGATTTAAATTTCCATAATTGGCATCAAAATCACGAATTTTTTACACCGAGGGAGCAAAAGCTAAAAAACAAAAGTAAAAGAATTAACTCACAACAATGAAGCGGTGGAAGCAAAATAATACTAAGCAACCATGAATCTGCAAGACGGCTAAAGGAAGATGGAGCAACAAAAAAGGCAATGCTTTTCTAAGAATTTTCTAACAAATATGAAGAGACCGGCAATTTAAAATTGAAACATAAGCTTACCTTTAAAAGCTTAATTAGCGCATCTTTTGAAGCTGGAGGATTTTCGAGCTTCGATCCCACCTCTTTTAGCTGCTGCTGAAGTTTTTGCGCCATTACTGTCGCGGGAATGAAGCTCTAAACCAGTTCGACATCTCTCAAAGAGACCATCCGATCGATACAGAGCTGACCCGAACCGGAGGGTTTTTTTTCCAGGTTTTCGAAAAAAAGCAAAATGAACACGAGCTGTGGTGAAATTATGAAATTACTAACTTCGAACTTTTATCTGTGAATCTTGACCCCTGATTCCTAAAACGAAACCATACAATGAAGAGCACGTATGTACAGCATCGTTTTGTTGCCCGGACTCAAACAGCTCGACATTAAAGAACTGGGTGTCTGGGACTCTGGGTTCGAGGCTTCAAGCTTCAAAGTTGACAATTTACCCTCACTACTTAGTTTAAATTACAAAATAACCGCACGTGAAAGTCCATCTTGTACAGCTATAGTCCTCCTGTCGGAAGTCAGGTAACCCGCTTATTAACTCCCAATGTGGGAGGCATGAATCCATAACCTCCACTCTTACACTTACACCATTAAAACTAATCAACTAACGTTGTGAAGACCAAAGCCATTGGCGCAAGAGACGCTTGACTGCTGCTCGAGAATGGGATGTGGCGTTCAATACCCGGGCGATGTACGGATTTTAATATTTATAAACAAAGTTGAAGATGGAGTTATATGACATTTAAGTTGCGTTTTAGTGAGAACGGTCAATTTTCTATTCTCTTAGATAAGTTTGTATTATTTTTTCTATTTTAAAGTTATTATTTTATTATTTTTTTAAATAACTTTTATTAATTTTTATAAGTTTATTAGTATTGTATTATTTTGAGTTAAAATTATAAAAAATATCCCCTTATAACTATTATATAAACCACCTTTGTATTTTAATCCTAACAAAAGCCTTTCTTGTAGTTTTGAAAAAAAATGTGCAAATATCTCTTTTCACTTAGTATTTTGGTAGCAAAGACATTGGAGTTACCAAAATATCCTTATCATGGTTAATGCATTATTATACATAATTTAAAGTTTCAATTTTACCCTTTCTCTAATTTATTTTGCCACACAACTTTCAAAGAATAACTCTCTTAATACTCTTCTTGGACAAAGAAAATTAAAAAAGCTGAAGTGAAGTAAAATTAATGCATTACATCAACATTTTTTATTTGCAATGGTAGGTGATGAATCAATTTTTATTGATGTATCGATTTTTTGGCTAAGTACCTCTTCATTTGGTCTGCTTCCAAGTGGCCGATGACTCAGGCCAAAGTGAACTTTGGCTGCCGAGCTGAGTCAAACTGGTCAGGCTAGGTGGCGAGCTGACTATAGTGTCGAGCTGCCTATGAGGTGTCGGGCTGACCAGGTGTCGAGCTGCCTGTGAGGTGCCAAGCTGCTTGTGAGGTACCGGGCAAACCAGGTGTCGAGCTGCCTGTGAGGTGTTGGGCTGACCAGGTGTCGAGCTGCCTGGTGGCGAGCTGAATTGATGAGCTTCGTTGCACTTTAGAGACCTCCAAGGAACCAAATGTCAGAGGACCCGGGGTGGCTAACCCGGCGAGGTCGCTCCGATGCTTAAGTCAGTACTCTCATAGTAGACTGCGAGCTAAAAATCACAAAGTCTAAGAGCTGGAACTTGCTTACTTGCTTGCTTGCTTGCTTGCTCGCCATTGGGGTTGGTGCCTTTATATAGGCATTGTTTGGCATGGGATTCAAGCACCCGAAGTACCCCTGGGAGCTCGCTACAAGGTAGCTCGCAACAGAATAGCTCGCTACAAAGTAGCTCACTACGGGATAGCTCGCTACAAGGCAGCTCCCTACTAAGCGACGCGACGTTTTCAAGAAGCTTCTATCTGACAAGACCGTACCCGTCAGACTGCACCACGTCTCCTGACTGGCGGTGCAGTCCCTGCCAACCCGACAGACTGCACCCACGTCTCTCGACAGATGGTGGCGTGACTGTCCTCCCGGGACGTGTCACTCATCCGATTGGGTAGTACTCTGCAACGGTTACCTGCGCAGCCCTGGCAAATAACGGCTGCGACAGAGGCTCAGTGGCGGTTACGCCCGATTTGACAAGAACGCCCATATTTAAGAACCCCATGGTCAAAGGGGAAAAGGTATCTTGAACATCTTGAATATATCTCTCTCGAGCTAATCTCGAACATTCAGTGATCTAGCGCGACCTGCACTCTTAGCCTTCTTCGCACTCTTTATTGCTTTCTCCAGCGTTCTAACTTAAGCATCAGAGTATTCTCACCGGGCAAGTCCCACGGGAATCCTTCACCGTCTTCTTCTCAGGTACCGTCCGTCGCCAACCAGGAGCCAGTCAGCTGCCAGCAAGGAGTGCCCGGATTGCACAATATCATTTGGCGTCGTCTGTGGCAAACGCTTCAAAAAAGCCTTCCTCTAAGTTTCTACAATTTCCTTTTGAGAACTTAGCATTCATGGCCTCCTCCAGCAACGCCGGACATGGTGCCAACCAGAACGCTTCTGAGGAGCAACCCTAGCTCCCCATTGTCTGTATCAGATAGTTCACCGTTTCCCTCTCTATGGACGGGGTTCCCAGCTTGAACGTGCCCCTCACAGTGGCACCCGTGAACGCTCCACTCCCTTCCACGGTTGAAGCGACCTTTGTTAAACCTTCGGTTGTGCCCCCAGTGACCAACCAGAACCAGTTGGAAGACCTAGTGCAGTGCATGCGAGCCATGCAAGCTCAAATGTAGCAGTTTCAGTAGTTTCAACTCTATCAGCAGCAAGTGCTGCATCAGGTCTCTCAGTACCAGTACCAGCAGCAGTTCCCTTTCTTGCCTCAGGCCTAACAGCTGCTTCCCCCTCGGCACCCGGCCATGAAGCAAACCAATCCCTCCCGTCGGAGCGAACGACCTCGCCGGGGAGAAGCCTCTCAGACCCAGAATCCTTCCAAAAGCCAAGCCTCGTCCCATGGCAGAGGGGAGAGGCCAGCCACCCCCGCCTCGCAACCTGTGGGCAGGTCAGTGGCCTCCCAGCCTGACAAGCCCGCATCGCCCCAGCACTTTCAGTTCGAGCTCCCGCTCGCATAAAACTTGTTTAAGGTCCTAGCCGCAGACTATAGGTAGGGCCCTTCGGTTCAGAGCTACCATCAGTAGTCCGAGCCCATCGAGCTCGGTAACACTGAAGCAAGCAGCACCAACACCGAGCCGACGAAGCAGTAGCGGAGACGTCGACGAGCTCGCCGAACTACTACTCACGTCTTGCCCGAGCTCAGAGGTAAGGAGAAGGTAAGCTCGAATGAAGTAAAAGCTACTCCTCTCCTTTCAGTTCCTTCCCCACTGTCGCCAGAACTTCTTGCCGTCCCCATGCCAAGGGACTTCAAGCTCCCTCCCCTGGATAAGTATGAGGGATTCTTCGATCGGAATGATCATGTGGACGTCTTTCAGTCCCAGATGCACCTGGCAAGAGCCAGTGAATCCTGTATGTGTGTGGCTTTCTCCACCACCTTCAAAGGGGTAGCCCACACATGGTACCAAAATCTCGCGCCTGGATCAGTAAGAAGTTGGACGTAGTTCGTGCAAGTCTTCACCTCTCACTTTGTCACCAGCAAGAGGTGCCCAAGAACTCAAGAAAGCCTCCTCGGCATAGTCCAAAAGTAAGGGGAGTCCATTCGGAGTTACATCAAGCGGTTCAACGACGCTTGTTTACAAATACCCGATATGGACCCCACAGTTCGTCTCACCGCGGCCAAGCGAAGTATTACCCATAAAGAATTCAAGTGGCACGTGGTTGTCAATCAGCCTAAGACCATGACCGAGTTCCTCAAGCTCGCGAATCGGTTTATAGGGACAGAGGAAGAGATCAACCAAAAGGGGGAGCAAGCCCTCGAGAAAAGAAAGAGAGAACCAGAGCCCCCAACTCAGGGCGATAGCAAGAAGAAGAAGGACCAAGCTCGGGGGGCAAAGCCAAGTCAGCTTTTCCGAGCTCTAGCAGCAGAAAGGGACTACACACCCCTCAACACGAAGCAGGCCGAGATCCTCATGGCGATCAAGGACGCTCCGTATGTGAAGTGGCCACCTCGGCTGAAGGTCGATCCTAATGTAAGGAATAAAAAATTGTATTGTAGTTTCATAAAAACCACGGTCACAGCACCAAGAATTGTAAAAACCTCCGCGACGAGATAGAGGAGCTTATCCGTCGCAGGTATTTGAGAAATTTTGTACAAAATAATAATAATAATAATAATAATAATAATAATAATAATAATAATAATAATAATAATAATAAAGCAGGTCGACAGGGGGAGCAGAATAGAGATGCTCCTGAATCCAGCAGGCAGGTAGAACAGCCGTAGAAGCAGCCCCCTGAAGAGAGACCAGTTCGGAGGACCATCCACGTGATTGTTGGAGGTTCGATTGTGGCGGGCTGCACCTCAGCTACAGCTTGGACATCAGCTCGCGAGGCTGCCAAGGAGGAACAGAACCCCCCGAAGCGGCCAAGGATGGAAGACTTGATCTTCTTCACAGAAGATGACGCGCGCGGGGTGCACTACCCCCATGATGACGCACTTGTCATAAAGATGAAGATCAATGACTTTGAAGTCAGGCGCGTCCTCGTCGACTCAGGAAGCTCAGCAGACATCCTCTTCAAAGCAGCCTTCGACCAACTTCAACTCCAAGAGAGTAACCTGAAGCCCGCGAACACTCCCCTGGTAGGCTTCAGCGGAGAGGAAGTCAGGCCCCTGGGAAGGATTACAGTACCTGTGGAAGTCAACACTTGGCCTAGCATAGTGAGGTTCAACCATGATTTCTTAGTGGTCGCAACCCCCTCCCCGTATAATGCCATAGTAGGTCGGCTGATCACCCATGCCTTATGAGTTGTGGTCTCCACTTACTACTTGGCCATGAAGTTCCCCATGGACTTCGGAATCGGGATAGCGCAAGGTGACCAGCTTGAGTCTCGCAAATGCTATGTCACCGCCCTCAAAGGGAAGGCCAAGGTGGCCGACGACCTCGAGCTGGAGCGACCTACGGAGAAGTGCGAGGAGCGAGCTGCGCCAACGGAAGAGACCACCTCCATCTCGGCATCGTCGGAGAACCCAACCCGGACACTCCAGATCGGCACTTCCATTGAGGAGCCTTTGTGATCTAAACGGCTACGCTTCTTACTTGAAAATTTAGATGTTTTTGCATGGTCTGCGGCAGAAATGCCCGGCATAGACCCTAGCATTATAACTCATAAGCTTAATACCGATCATGTAGTTAGGCCCATTAGACAGAAGAAATGCAACCTAGCCACAGAGCGATGGAGGGCAGTCGACGAGGAGGTCGGGAAGCTCCTTGCAATCGATTTTATCAGGGAAG